GTCAAAGCTGACTTGCGGCCTCTCTGATAGGCTAACGGAGCTTTCACACACCACCGGAGCAGACCCAAAAGAGGCGTGATCTCAAGACAGCCTAATGGCAGGCTGGAATTGAGGGGTGTGTTGATGAAGGTGAGGAGCAGTAGTCTGGGATCTTCTGTGATCCAACCAACCAGCATCTCCAAGAGTGCAGGGGGCGGAGTCAACTCATCTACAAGCAGCAATATCAAACATATTATGTATAACTTTTTTTTTTTTAGCTTATATTATAAAATGTTTATATAAAATTGTGTAATATTTTATATTAAGAAATTTCTATTAAAACATTACACTTTAATATTATAATAACAATATTGTATACATTCAATATTTTATAATATGCACTATATAATTAATCAAGTAGACTTATATTTATTTATTTTTTTTGTGACAAGATGTGACAAAAAGAAAACTAGTACCTGAGGAGAAGTTATAGAGAGCCGTTACTGCAGTGATAAGCTGACAGCAAAAGCGAGGACTGGCTGAACAGATGTTTTGCAGGGTAGAGATGGCACATGGCACCAGTGTGCAGTAATCATCCATCAGCACCTGAGCCAAACGCACGCACCATGCAGAGTGTGCGCGCTACACACACACAAAAAAAAAAATGTTTCAAAAGCTGTCAGATTGAACCCATTTTAGCTTATTAATTAAAACTAATAAATCTTTTTTTTTTTTTGCATAAAAAGCATATATTAATGACAGTATAACAAATACTACCATGATGTAAAAATAAAATACGCAATTTAAAGTATTGAGAAATGTTTGCATTACTGTAATGAAAATTTACGGGGTTAACATGTTCTTGAACAGTGTTGTTATTGTTAATTAAATCTACTGCTATTTAAAAACATTAACTGAAATAAAGCTAAAAAACTTTCAGAAAAATTTTAAATGTTGCCTGTAATTTAAGTACTAAAACTGAAACAAAAACGAAAAAAAAAAATAAAATAAACAGAAACATTTTAAAAAGCACAAAAATACTAAAACTAAACTAAAAAGAATACTTAAAATATAAAAACAAAAGCTAATTATTATTAAAAATGTAAATTGTTAAAATAATAAAATTAAAAAATTAAAAAAAACATTAAAATAAATACTTTAATAGTACTAAACAATACTAACACTGTTCTTGATAGTTTTTGTGAAACTCACAATAAGCATTCTGATCCAATTATCTATTAAATTCAGTTAGCATGCTCTAATCTAGAGAAAAAAATTAATTACCAGGCAATTATGACATAAAATGAAAGTAAACGCATTAATATCACACACCTGTAGCCAGGTGGCTGCACACTCTAGTATTGGCACCCGACACATGGCTATAGCCATTGAAACTAGCTTCCCAAGCATGGCCATGCGGCTCTCATCAGCCTTGTTGCCTTGAAGACTGAAGAGTGTGGAGAAAATGATCTGTCGGATTGCATCTTTGCTCTGTTCCTGGAAGTAACTGCACATGATCTCCAGCAGTTGCAATTCTTGAACACAGCTCATCCTCTGGGCCAAATACAACACATAGGTCAAATCAGCATGACTTCTGAAGCATCATGTGACACTGAAGACCGGAGTAATGATAATGAAAATTCAGCTTTGCAGGAATTAATTACATTTTTAAATATATTACAGTAGAAAACAACTTCAAACAATGGAATGGTATTTACCACCACACAGATTTTTCTTTTAGTCAAACCAGATTGCATACTCCTGTTCCTCACCTTAGGCTGGATGTTTCTGTCTTTAGGGACGTGAAAGATGAATTCCTCCACCAGCTCCACCGTGCTCTTCTCTAGTCCAGGCGTGGGGCCGGTGGAGCTCTGCAGAGCGCTGCCCAGTGAGATGTCCAGATGATACAGAACCTCTTTAGCCGCGCTCAGCGGATCACGCCGCAGCAATGCATGCCGGATATCACTCATCTCTGCTGTGGAGGAGAAACTACAACATCAAATACAAGCAAATGAGAAATATGAAAGACATTAATCAGACATTAACATAAAAAGAACCTAAATATATCATTATATGTATTATTTCTGGACATGCATCATGGTAATACTAATACCTTGTTATTTTGGACTTGCATCACGGTAATACTAGGTTTTTTGAACATGCATTATGGCTATACCACAGATTCAGAACATTTACCATGTTTTTGAGATAATACTAGAGTAAACCATGGTATATTTTTCTTTCCTAGCGTGTATCCCGTGGTCTCACTGTACCATCTTGTACTATCACTGTACTGATACCGCAATATTTTGTTGTAAGGCGTGTCATATCCAAAATAGTGAAAATAACTAATTGGATTGTATTAAAATACCACTTATCGAATTATGAGTGAGTTAATCGAAAGCTGTCAATCAGTACACACAAATAAGCAACAAAAAGCGATTATTCTCTATGGTGACACACATTGTCTGAAGCGATGCAGTTTACACAGCGCGATTGCTGCACCGCCGGTTTCTTTAAATGTTTCCACGGTTCACAATACATACATATTTATACTTACAACACCCTTACCTGAGTTGATAATTAGACTCGTTACATTAGCTTCTCTCAATCTGCAAATGTATATCGCCCATAATTGACAAAGTTGTTCATCAGAAAATAACTACGGAATCCCGTAAAGGACAATGTAGACTCGCTTGCGTGGAAAAAAGCGCGGCTGATCAGCGCCTCCTGCGTACTGGAGATACTGTACTGTACAGTGCATTCAAACTGGACTAATACGCGTTTTCAGAACAAATGATTCTTGCTTGTATATTTTTTATTTATCTAATTCAATGACATGCAGACATTTTAATTGTGATTCTTGAGTCCACACAACCTCCATTTTAAAGCCATGATATATTTGAAAATGAACTAAAAATCGAACTCAAATAATATTTAGTTACCTCCTGATGCAGTTAATTTAGTATTACTATTATAGTTTTTACTAATATTTAGAATTTGTTTTTATTTTTATATTTTCTATGTTCAGTTTCATTTTAGCTAAACTTTTGTAATTTTGTTTTGTGTGTGTGTGTGTGGTTTATGAGGACACAAATTTGTATAATGTCATGGGTAACTTATGTATTACAACATGAAGGTGGTTTATGAGGACACAGATTTGTATAATGTCATGGGTAACGTTAACTTATGTATTACAACATGAAGGTGGTTTATGAGGACACTTTCGGTGTCCCTGCAGGTAATTCAAAAGGTTTATAAATCATACACAGGGCAGTAAGTTAGCCAGAGTTGTAAAATTACCGCGGTCTCAAATTCATTATTAATTATATGCCTAATATATGATGAAAACGGCTTCGTTAATATTGTTTCTTGTCCCCTCACATTGACAGTTACGAAACATTACATGAATCACGTCAATTCAAAATGGCGAAATTAGACAAGTTTATTAGTTTGCATTCCTCATTATATTTGTCAGTCGTTTAACATTTCTATCGTAAAACAGCTTTCAGATATTAACTGTTTGGCTACTTACATCTTATCCCGCACTAGCCGCTAACTGAAGCGTCGCGTTGAAATTCGCGTTGCGGTTTCTGTGAACAAAGCCCGCCTACTTTGATTTATTTGTATAATGTCATGGGTAACTTATGTATTACAACATGAAGGTGGTTTATGAGGACACAGATTTGTATAATGTCATGGGTAACTTATGTATTACAACATGAAGGTGGTTTATGAGGACACTTTCGGTGTCCCTGCAGGTAATTCAAAAGGTTTATAAATCATACACAGGGCAGTAAGTTAGCCAGAGTTGTAAAATTACCGCGGTCTCAAATTCATTATTAATTATATGCCTAATATATGATGAAAACGGCTTCGTTAATATTGTTTCTTGTCCCCTCACATTGACAGTTACGAAACATTACATGAATCACGTCAATTCAAAATGGCGAAATTAGACAAGTTTATTAGTTTGCATTCCTCATTATATTTGTCAGTCGTTTAACATTTCTATCGTAAAACAGCTTTCAGATATTAACTGTTTGGCTACTTACATCTTATCCCGCACTAGCCGCTAACTGAAGCGTCGCGTTGAAATTCGCGTTGCGGTTTCTGTGAACAAAGCCCGCCTACTTTGATTTGATTGGTCATCTCAAATATCTGTTGACGTTGACGAGCGGTGACTGTCACCGTGACAGGACTGTTGAGGCAGCTCAGATGAGGAGGCTTAAATTTAATCTTGGTGCTGTGCTGTGCACTATCTTTGCAGCACGAAAGAAGAGTTCATCTTTATTTAATCTCCGGTGGGGATAAAAAACATCCCACGAACAGCGCCGAAGTCCCGATCTGAATCAAATGATTCGTGATACGCGATCCAATTTGGAGCAATCAAAACAGTGAATCATTTTGCGACGCAATGGTTTAACTGATTCGGAGTTTCAAAAAGCTCCGTTGATACTGTAAAATTTATGTTCTTTGCTCACTTTCCTATATAATTTATTCGTTGTTTGAATAACCGTTTAAATCAATTAATCGGCCTAATGTTTTTATATAATACAATTATATTATAATTATATTATATAATATAAATCTATATATTTAAGATAACGTTTATTTTACTTCAAGCAAGTCTAATAACCTTGTAAGCACTTTCTAATAAGCCCAATAAGCACCTTTACATTTAATTTATAATATAAATATAATATAATAATTGATCCACTTCAAATGTTGACTACTATATATACATTTTATATAGTCAACATTTGAAGTGGATCAAAAAAGTTCATCAAAGTTGTCCTAAGACAAGAACGCATTTTGGTTTTAGGTTTTAGGACAACTTTGATGAAAGGTTTTGATCCACTTCAAATGTTGACTAGTGTATATTATGTCAAGGTCTACAATTATCGATTTGAATCAGTCAACACTGGGAGGCGCTATTTTATACCTAATTATGAGTATTTTGTAGTCGGATGTAGCGCCACCCCATCGTCTCTTTGACGGGACAGCAGCCTCTCCAGCATCAGTGTGAGGCGAGCATCATCCAGCTCTCTTTAACTTCATATCCAGAACACACGAGCTGCTGTCAACATGACCATCAACACACTCAGTCAGGATGGAGTGCAGCGACAGCAAATGCCCTGTTTGACTAAGGTAAGTCCCTAAAATCGATTTTCATTTAGCTCTAACAATCACAAATCTGCTGTAGAACAGATACTGTCGTTTTTGCAAACCAGCCAGAGTTTAATAATCCTGCAGTTGTTGCCTGTAAGACAGTATAGGAACTTCTCCTCGCATTATTGAAAATGTGTTAAAGACGAAACTAAAATTTCTGTACTGTAAAGTTTCTGAATTTGCATAGTTGTGTTTGCATTTTCTTAGGCTACTTATATAACTGATTTATATACCTGGAGTTCTTAAAAAATAAATAATCCAACAAATCATCCCACTCTTCCTGTTATGCTTATTGTATTGATGCTTTTGCTGTTTTGTAACATTAAATCACCTTATTGATTTATAAAATTGTATATAATGAGAATGTATGAATTGTTATAATTTAACATATAATAACTTAAGCTATATAAATATTATATATAGCTATATAATAACTTAATAAAGGTAATGTTTATTTAGGGGTGCATCCTGTTCTTTTTTTTAAATCACTTTATTGTGAATAGCCTGAATAGTTGGCAAATAACAGTCATTTTTTATTCAAGATTAAGGTTTTTATTTGTTTATAGAGGAACTTGCACCTTTTTATATTATTTTTCTTTATGCTATTCACAATTTGAATCACATTTTAGCTTCTGTGCAGTTCACAAAATAGTTGTGTGGTGTGGTTTTTTGTGATCTAAAAGTACTAATATTTCACATGTGCCCACATACAGATGGAGCGCATGATCATATCCATGCAGGACCCTGATATGGGCATCAAGTTGCGCAACCAGCGTCTCCTTATTACGGTCATACCACATGCAATGACTGGTGAGTCTCTCTCTCTCTCTCTCTTTCTCTCTATGACTGCAGCAAACTTCAAGCTTCACTCACTCTCTCTTGATAATCCCAAATGGACACGACTGTTCCTCGTATTTTCCAGCCTCTGACATGTTATGGCACGATTAGAGCGACAGCTGAGGCACGACTAGAATAGTTTCCCACTATTACTGTGGAAATAGTCTGCATTTAACAGCAAAGTATCCATGCGTATCTCGGAAAGTCTTGAGTGCGTATGAGGACAGTAAATCAATAGAAACTTGCGCAGTGAAATTAGACTCCTGTGTGTGCTTTCAGTCTCTGTGCTCATTTTTCTTGCTATTAATTAGTCTAACAGTGCATGTTTTGCGCCTGCACTTGTCTCTCAGAGGACACCGGGCTACGTGTGAATGAACAAATGACTTTCTTCAGGAAATTAAAGATAAATACAAGTCAAAGTCACTTAAAGTAATAGTTCACCCAAAAATGAAAATGTACACACCCTCAGGCCATCAAAAATGTAGATGAGTTTGTTTCTTCATCAAAACAAATTTGGAGAAATGTCGCATTACTTCACTTGCTCACCATGGATCCTCTGCAGTGAATGGGTGCCGTCAGAATGAGAGTCCAAACAGCTCATAAAAACACCACAATAATCCATAACTAATCCACTCAACTCCAGTCCATCAATGAACATCTTGTGCAGCAAAAACCTGTGTGTTTGTGATAAACAAATTCACCATTAAGACATTTTTTACTTCAGATCATTGCTTCCAGATAGAATAAGTTGTCTCGTCTGAAACTGGAGAGAAATATGCACAGATCAGGCACTGCTTACAAGCAAAAACAGTCCAAAACAGTTTAAACACAAATATGTTGGTGGATTTTGATGTGAGAGGACAACAGGAGATAGACTTTTTCACTGGAGGAAGCATACCCTTACCAAAAAGTAGTATACTTCAAGTTTATTTTAGTAAGTATACTTAAGTAAAGTTCAAGTATATTTTTAAGTAAATTATAGATTATGGACTCATATTTTGGCCAGAAGTGATGCTGTTTGAACTCTCATTCTACGGCACCCATTCACTGCAGAAGATACATTCTTTTGTCTGACACTGTGCTTATGTTGACAGTAATATTCTTTGATTTCATACAGGTGTAGGCATTGTTGAATGGCTGATTAAGAAGTTTTCTATCTCTGATGAAGGTAGGACATTAATATAACCTATAAATATATTTTGATTCTTTGTCTTTGATACATAACATTGGAATTGCACTTGATTGCAACAATGATGATAATTGTTATTTATAGTAAAAGAACAAAGAAGTTGTTATCTTTATTAAACTAAAGTGTCAGCAACTTTTGCATGGACAAGCACAATTCATATTTACTTCAGAAAATGTAACAAGCCATTATTTTACTGTGTGCATAAAAGTAATCAATTTAAAATGAATTTTAAAAAGTGCTCATACACTGCCTTGTAGCTCCAACATGATTTCAGACTTACTGTGTGCATGTCAGAGCCTGTGTGTGTAATAATTTCCATGCTATCTGCTGTGGTGTATTTCTTGGAGTTTTCCAGTCATCTGTGTGTGGTTTATAGAAAGTGTTCTCCAGAGACGACATTATTCTCCATGTGCCATCCTGAGGGACTTCAAAACATACACACGCGCACACACGACCATGGGGAGCTAAATTGCATATGAAAGTTGCTTTAAATTAAAGTCAGATTTTATGTAATGTAAGATGAGTTGTGTGCAAGATTTTTAATAATAAATGCACAAATGTCACACTCTCAGAGAACAGGCTGCATGGTTCAGAAAAGCCCTAATAAACAAGTAATGCTGCACACAGCTGTGGCTGGAATAAACAAGACTCCAGAGAGTTTGACAGATCTGTGCACTGCAATGAGGGAACACCTTGTGTAGGCAACCACTAGATGAAATGTATGTATTCTCAAATCATTTACTACTATTTTAGTTAAAGGGAAATTAAAAAATGAAAATTCTGACATTATTTACTCACCCTCATGTCCTTCCAAACCCGTATGAGGTTCTTTCTTTTGCTGAACACAACAGAAGATATTTTAAAGAATGTTGGTAACCAAACTGTTGGCGGTACCCATTGACTTCCATAGTATGGAAAAAAAATACTATGGAAGTCAATGGCTACCTTCAACTGTTTGGTTACCAACATTCTTCAAAATATCTTCTTTTGTGCTCAACATAACATAAATAAAACAAAGATTATTTGATGTATGTTGCATGATGTATGAAAATACTATTTCAGTCTTTCTAAATACAAATGTCATGTTTAACTCAATGTGTTACTTGGCAATTTTTTTGTAATTATTTGTAAATAAATTTACTAGCAAATTCTGAGTAAAAATTATTTTCAAGAACAATTCTAAACCAATTTTTATGTAAATCCTTGGTTTTATTTTTAGAATTATTTACTTGATTTATAATTATTTCTATTTTTTTGTACTTGTGTGGGTGTATAATACGCATATGAATATTTTTTTTCATCTTTATTTATTTTATCTTTTTTTATATTTTTTCTCATCTTTATTTAGAGGCATTGCACGTTGGACAACTCTTTGTAAAGTATGGATACATTTACCCTTTAAAAGAGCCAAGAAACCTTATTCTGAAAGCTGACGATTCACCATATCGCTTTCAGGTATTTATATATGCACACACAATATTTACATAAAATCACATGCCATATCAGCAGTTTCTAAATTCCCATTTTCAAAATCAGCACATCTGAATTAATCTCTGTCTTTATCAGACGCCGTATTACTGGATGTCGACACGCTGGCCTACTTCAGAACTGGACTATGGTGAGATCTAACTTCCCATGGTTCAAAACAAAAAAGGATTTACCAAATGTTGTGCCAAACCAAAATACATTTGCTTCAATACAAAAGGAGATATTTCGCTGCAGGTTCAGAGGGTAAATGCATGGATTTACTTATATGTGTTTTAGCAATCTACTTGGCCAAGAAGAATATCCGAAAACAAGGAGAACTAATTGAGTATGAAAAGGTATGCCAGCCACACCATAGAGAAACAAAACTGTACAATGTAGACACGAAGCCATGTAGCCATCTGTTGTTCATTTCTCAATCTCTGGCTTTGTTAGGAGTGCTATAATGCTTTACATAAACGTATCAACCACACCTGGGACTTTGTTGTGATGCAGGCAAGAGAGCAGCTCAGGTAACTATCCTTTTCCATACTAAACGTGCACACACACACACTTAATGCTCCCTTCGGCCTATTACATTTAGCCCTCTATTACCTATATTATAAAAGTAGCATATAAAAATGATCAGAAATGCATTTTCTAGCAAAAAAAAAAAAAAAGGACAAAATCACTAAAATCAAAATTACATTTTTGAATAATTATAAATCATATAAAACATTTGTAAATCGTTTTAAATCAAGTAAATGCTGAAAATACCACCAATAGGTACAACCATGAAAATAAATATATTTTTTCTAAATATTTAAATATTTGTAGTTAAAAGTGTCTATACATTTTCATTGATGTTAGAATACTAGAACTGGTTTAAACAACAAAAAAACAAATAAACAGTTTTTTTTATTTTTTATTTTTTTTTTACAATTGACTCAACATTAGCATAGGGTTTTTTTTTTTTTTTACTTTAGCCACTTAAAATCTTAAAGAATCTTAACAAATTGGCCCCGAGCTTTACTTTTATTAATTTTTATTATAGTTAACTGAAAATAAACCACTACTAAATGCTAAAATAAAAGTTAACTGAAACAAAATAAAATATAAAAAACTGAAATGTATTTTATTTCAGTTAGATGCCCATGCATAATTTTCACTCATTTTCACTTTACTGTGTATTTTTTATTTTTTATGTACTAAAAAAATAAAACAGAAAACAGAAATACAATTAATACAAACTCTATACACATAAAAAAAAAAAAGCTAATTAAATGACAAAAACCAAAAGAAAACTACTAAGACTTTAATTTAAATTAAGAAGAAAATGGAAAATATAATTTATAATACAACAACAAAAATGGAATGAAAAACGCAAAATTCTCTGTAGTGGCTGCATCCACTGTTGCACTATACTCCTTTACAATTTAAGCAATTCTTCATAGCATACAAATAATATATATAGCTCTAAATGTTTTAAACTCAAGTTTTATGCACTACTAAATATTAATCAAATTTTTGATGGTTGAAAAAAATCAATATAAAATATTTTCTGATGGTTGTTGTCTCTTATCATGTTCATTTTCTTGTGTTTAAGGGCATCAAAACAGCGTCGAAAAGCAGATCGTATCGTGCTGGAGTGTCAGGAACAAGCTTACTGGCTAGTGAACAAACCTCCTGTAAGTCTCGAACACTATAAACCCACAACAACGCTAACAAAAAATACCATGGCAATACTTACACCATGGTATTCTTTGAAGTATATTGGAGTACCATCAGGGTTGCCGTCTGTTCATGAATTAAATAAATAGAAAAGTAACATACTGTGTATCACCTTTCAGAAATGTGATATAGAAAATCAAAGCATGTCAAATGCATTAGTCAGTGTATGATGCTTAAGCAGCCACAGCATCTGTGCCCATCTGGCACGTGCCTTCATATCTGTATCCAGCTTCTGCTTATGAAATATTCAGCCAGTCAGTTAAAAGCATCGCAAAGCAGAGGAAAAAGGGGGAAGGGGACAGAGCGAGAGGAGAACAGAAGAAAGGGAGGACAGATTCTGGCAGAAGAAAAGGAGAAATAGAGTGGAACACATTGGTGCCTTTAAAGCACACTCACACATGAGTGCAAAGGATATATATGGATTGCTTAACATGAGCTTAAGTGTCTTTTGAAAATAAAGATTAAGGTGTTTATGCTACTCCAGGTTTAAAAAATATTTTATTATTATTATTTATTTATGTTACAGCAATTGATATTAAGAGTAAAAGCTTTTGTGAAATGGTATACAGTTCAAAAGATACCAACATGAATACAGAGATCTCATTTCTAAGGGCTTGGCGCATGCGTTTGATCATAAATATCTTATTTTGTCATTGATCCATATATCTCTTGATAACCACATTTTCAGCCCGGTACACTGGACAGTATAGATCATGGACCGGAAAGAAGAACCATGAACACACGAGTGCAGCTGGTCAGTAAACAGACCACCACAACACAACTAGTAACCACATGCACAACAACACGTAATCCACATAGACACACACAGACACAGCACGTTTCAAAAATATATGAACAAACATTATATATATATATACATACATGCATATGACTGCTGAAAATTCAAATGAATAAATTAAATTTTTTTTTATCAAATAAATGTAGCCTTGGTGACTAAAAGAGACATTTAAAAAAAAAATTTATATTATTTTTACCAAAAAAAACAGAGAAAAGCATTAAAACTAAATAATTCTAATATCAGTAATAATAATATTTATTTGCAAAAAATGTAGTTAGCTGTCTATACATCATTCTTTACTTATGCAGCACATACTGTACTGTGAAATATAACCAGATTTACTTCCTGTCATGCTTGTTTTTGTGTTTTTATGGTAAACGACTTAGATTGAACATAACAGGATAAGCCTGGTGAGGAATCGTGTAAAGTCCTCCATTTGCCTTGAGAGGTACTCTGTGTGTGTGTGTGTGTGTGTGTGTGTGTGTGTGTACTCTGCCGAAGTCTAAGACTCCAGGCTAGAGCTAATGGACTGTCCTAAAAGTATCTTTTAAAAAGAACTCTTACCATAACCCTTTGTGATGACCTTACATGTCTCTGTGTGTGTGTGCATGCAGTTACGTTAAGTACTGTGAGCAGTACCAGCCCCATGACCCCATAATGCAAGGATGTCTTCCCAGCAACCCCTGGATCACAGATGATATCATGTTTTGGAACATGAACTCTGAATCGTGAGTCACATGATCACACATGAATAACCATTTTAAACTGAAGTACACTAATGTTCTGTCTGAGGGTCAGTAATTGCTCTGTATATCTACGTTTTCCTGAAATAGAGTTGCTTTGCCGACTAAACTGCGTGTGGAGCACTGGAGCTTTAGCTTCATGGAGCTGCTCAACGACCCAATGGGAAGAAAAGAGTTTCTCACGTATTTGGAGAAAGAATTCAGCGGTACACACACACAAATTTTATTCATGATACATGATATTGTATTCATAACCCTTACAAACAGTACTGTGTTGCTACCATAGTATAGTTATGGCATCTGATAGTAGTAACATAGTACATAGACATAGATAGTGTACTGAAGTAGGGTACTGAATAATAATTGGTTTGACCAATACTTAAAGCAGCACTATGTAACTTTTTCTGTTTTCAAAATTGGCAAAATGTATATAATGAGCGAGTACATCATGAATTCATCTTCCAAACCGCGTTTTTGTCTTATTCCGAATCACTACGGTACACTTATAATAAGTACTTATATTTGGACTATTGTAGCCTGGTCGGGTCGTCACCGCTGCGGAG